AAGATGCCTGAGTCGACTTTGGTACCAGAAAATTTTCTTGAATTTGGTATGGATATTAAAGAATTGCATATTATACAAAGTAACTTGAACGCTATTAAGAATCATGCGTTCACGCATGTTCGAGGAATCAAATATTTAGATTTTTCCGAGAATTCTATTTCTACTATCGAGGATGATGCTTTCTCTGAGGTATACAATTTTAATTTTAATCTTTTGGATGCATAAAACAATACTGATATTGATATTTTAAAGTTTTTATTAAACCATTGCTTTTCTTCAATAAATTATATTAAAAATATTAGACATAAAAATTTTAATAAAAATATTTACAAATTTCAATCACACACACATATATATTCGTGCATCCAAATAATTGTTCTTATATCAAACAAAATAAAACAACGTTTCTAATATAAATTTAACAAATTATTAAGGTCGGTCATTCTCTTTTGACGTTAAGAATATCGCACGGTTTGTCAAGTTCTATTACCGAGATACCTAACAAGCCATTTAAGTCTTTAACAAATCTACAGCATCTTGACTTCAGTAACAATAAAATCAAATCTATGCCAGACACAGCATTTCATTTTTTAAAGAGAATCAAACGTATCGAGCTTCAGGATAACGAAATTGATGCTATTCCGAAAGGAACTTTTCAGGTATTGATTAAACAATTGTTGACACGAGAGAATAAAAGTAATATAAAAGTTTCTATTAAATCTATTGAAGCACTTTTATTTTAATCTATAAGGGATGAGCCGCCTAATCGTATTAATTTATTGAACCTAATATCTTTTTAGGGTGACATACATTCAATGCTAGAAGAAGTGAATTTTGCTTTTAATCAGATAAAGAGCATACAAACCCATACGTTTGTGGATTTGTTGTCTTTAATGACTATTAATTTAGAAGATAATGCTATTAAGAGAATTGAAAGGCGTGGATTTATGAATATGAATCGTTTGAAGTATATCAATTTGCGTGGGAACAAGATCACTGATATTACCGATGAAGCATTCCAGGTAATATATTACTATATAATATTCTAATAATTATATGAGATAATCTTACTAATTGGAGTGTAACGTGTTTCATTTTGAAGAACCTACCAGACTTAGAATTTCTCGATTTGGCTTACAATGACCTGAATGAATTCGATCTAACTTCATTCGACCAAGTTGGCACATTATCTTCTTTCAAAGTTAATGTTAGTCATAATGAAATTCCTAAATTGTGGATCAACAGTACTACCTTTACGCCACCAACGACAAGTATGAATTTAATAAAAGAATTCATTTTTTGTTTTTTTTTTTTATAAATAAAAATATAATCAAATAAATGTATTTTTTGTTACAGTCGGTGGTAACATACAAGCCAACATCAAAGTCTTAGACCTCAGTTATAATAATATATCAGACATCATGAAGTACTATTTTAAACCGGTGGAATATTCGCTTAGTCATTTGTATATGTCGCATAATCAACTGACCAACGTTACGCAAGGAATATTTGGCAATATGCCTCATTTGCAGTGGCTCGATTTAAGTCACAACGATTTAATCGAGGTCGATTTTGATTGCTTTAGAAATACGAAAAACCTACAGGTTCTTTTCCTATCTTGGAATAACATTGCAGACATTCCGGCAGAAGCTTTAAGACCTCTTAAAAAATTACGCATCGTTGATTTATCTCATAATAGATTGAGAACCCTACCGGATAATATGTTCACAGATGCAATCATTGAGAGTCTTGATCTCTCGCACAATCAATTTATGAGACTTCCTGTTAAAACTATGTCTATCTCAGCGGCAATGAGTTTATCTATTTTAGATATGTCTTGGAATACTTTGTCAGGCATTCACACAACCGATGCTATTTTCAGATTGAGAGTAAGAATCTTTCTCTCTCTCTCTCTAGCTTTTAATAAATTTAACTTGTTAATTATGTTACGATAACAATTATTCTATTTATTTTCATTCATTAATAATAAGTACTTATCTTCTTTTTTATTCTATTTTAGGGATTAACGTGGTTAGATCTTTCCTATAATCGTTTAGTTAGACTAGACGACGGAGTGTTTTCTGATTTACCTTACTTGTCTCATCTCGATTTGAGTCACAACAAACAATTGATATTAGAAACTCGTGGACGAACTTTTCACGGATTGGAAGATACACTTTTTTATCTTGGTTTAAGTAACATTTCTTTATTGAGTGTATGTATTTTATTTATATTATATAAGCAGAAAGAAAGAGTACGAGAAGTTTGATAGAAAATATTTTATCTAAATATTGGCCCTTGTGTCAAGTATTTTTTGAGATGGAAAATATTAATGTAAATTAAATCGAGAAACTCTTGTATATATTTTTTTCTTTTTCGTAGGTACCAGAATTACCTTTATCGAGATTGCAAATATTGCATTTAGCACACAACGAATTGGCATCTATACCGGCTGAAATGGCATCGAATTTAACATCATTGCATCATTTGGATTTAAGTTACAATGACTTAACGGTAGTCCCTTTGATCACGCACACGCTCCCAGAATTGAAGACTTTTAATTTGGCTAATAATCCAATCACGGCTATCACCAATACGAGTTTCTTAGGTGTAGCCGATAGTCTTGAAGAATTGGATATACGATGGTTATCCTTATCAACGTTTGAAGTATGCTTCTTTTTTCTTAAATTAAATTATTTTGTGTAATATGGTAGTTGAAGATAACATTAATTACGTTAATTATAGGCTGGTGCTCTTTGTAAAGCAACGAAACTTAGAAGATTGTATATAACTGCTTACACTGGTTTAAAACAATTCAATTTTCCGAATATTTTGGAATACAATCAGGGTTTAAGAGATTTATTGATTGATGTAAGCATATAAAAAATATTGTGTTTAAGTATTAAAGTATTAGAAGGATCAATTAATATAATTAAGAATTATTATAATTAATTGTCATGATTTATAATTATTATTTTAGGTTGAAAACGAGACAGATTTACAGAAAGAAATGAAAGGAAAATTTCCTTTTAAATTGTATAATATTACGCTCACTGGGAAAGCTTTGAAAATTATTAATTCGGATATATTAAAAGTGAATATTTACGATCTTGTGTTTATTGTAATAATTCATTGAAATGATTTATTAATTTTAAACATTTTAATATTTAATAGGGAATAAGAAATTCACATTTGCATTTTGGATTATTTAATACTAGTGTAAGTAGTGTACCAAAAGAAATGTTTATCAATGCCGAATGGGTGAGAAATATAACGGTTGATCTTCATCATACCGATACAAGAACACTTCATAATCCATCCACTGGTCATAAACCTGGTGTACCGAGAAAACAATTTCTGATGAAACTCAGACTAGCTGGATCTTATATGAATTGTGATTGCGATATTGGGTGAGATAAATATCTTGAATTCATAATTTATGATACATGATTCATATAATAATGAAAATAATTATTTTCAGATGGATTGAAATGTGGCAGAGAAAGCACAGACAGTATCAAGAAGATAGATGCAATTCTTATGGTGAATTTAATAACTTTGAACGCGAGGAAGGCGATGAATTTAATTGTTGGGATAATGGCTCAGACGATGATCTTCGAGAAACATTTTGTATGAACAAAAATAACATGACCCTCTCCAAAGCCTTGAAAACAGAGATCGAATGTGGTTGGAGCTCTGGAAATAATATTGGCTCATCGAACTCATTAATTTTCTTCCTTTTCTTGATCATAGGAACACAATTATAAATTAAAATATTTTTTTCTTCGTATATTTCATTTGGAATCAAATATTTCTCTGTGTTTCTCTCCGATTATTAATTATTATTTATTTCGCACACTGTTATTCCCAACGTTTATACATTTCACGTTTCATTTTATTTATGTATTTATTTTTATTTATATTTTTATCAAGGCAGTTTTCCTAACTGCAAAACAGTGAGACAATCAATGAGACTGTCGAACAATGTTCAGATATTCGTACAAAGTCTGCGATTGTAAATTAAGCTTCCCAATGTGTCATTCAGTCTGTGTGTATACAAACAAATTTTCTCTTAATATCCTAGTGACCTACTTCTTCGTGTTAAATTAATTGGGTTATTATTAAACAAAATAAAAATTATTGTATATTGAGAAAAAAATTACAATATATANAAAAAGAAGAAAATCATATTTTATATTTCGAAGTAATAATCTTTGTTTAAAGTTTGATGTTCTGTGATGAAATATATATATATATATATATATATATTTCATCACAGAACATCAAACTTTAAACAAAGATTATTACTTCGAAATATAAAATATGATTTTCTTCTTTTTTTTTCTTTCTTTATCATCAGTAATTATACGATAGAACTTTTGCTACTATATGAAGAACCATGTATAAAATTGGCAGAATGATTAAACCAAATATGAAAGTTAAACAAACGTAAATACTGAACAACTGTATTACCAGTATCAAGTATTTGATAACCATTTGACTAATATTGTTAGTATTCTTTATGTTTATCAATTTGTCCAATATAAATCGTAGGATGTAGAGAAATATCTGTAATACAAAATTAATTCATAAACAATGTTATTTTCAATTAAAAAGGTATTTCGGTCTGTCATTAAAGTGATATTTCATTACTTCCGCAATAGGAGCAATATTAACGATAATATAAAGCAGAGCAATCAATGATCGACCTGTTGCTTGACCCATGACCTTAACAAGATCCCTGAAAGGATATTCTGTGCGTGGAATACCATTGGATTCTTGATAATTTGCTAAATGTTCTCTTATGTTTAACAAAAGTGTCTTTGGCTTTTTATTTGTAATACTGACGGATTCCTTAAGACTGAAATCATCTGAAAAATTCAATTCGAATATTAAATATGATAAAGAATTAAAATAACTGATAGAAATATGAGTCTTATATAGAGTTCGTAAATGAATGTATTAAATGTACCTGTCATTTCCATACCACTCTTATTACTAAATTGAATTTGATTATTGCAATTAGAAATGCTATATGGATTTCTAGATTTAATTTCTGTATTTATGGTTGCTTCTTGAGTAGATTTTTTATCCGTCAAAGCAAGTTCTATTGTCTGCCAAAATTCCTTGGAATCATATTTCCAATCTCCTGATTTTTGTTCGTTCGATAGATAAGATTGATCCATCGTTGATCTATTTATTTCTTTATCCGATAGATTTAAACTATTGGAAATTGGTGACGATGTAAAAACGTTCTTTAGATTTCCATGACATTCCTCTTGCGGAAACTAATGATAAACCCCCGTTGAAAATATATTATTGTTTAATTCTTATATAGTAATCAAATCGTGTCTATGTAAAAAAGATTATTTTTATTTTTTTCTCGATTACGAATAATTAAATCGTACGATTACAGTTGATTGAATCGGTTCCTTTAAACTTTGCTTGCGAGTTCCATTCGATGATGAGTCTTGAAAAAACTTGAACGCTTGTTGTGATTTCCTCCTCTTTAGATCATTAGAATGGTGATAGACATTAGTATTACTCCACATAACGAAATTTAGTATTATTATAATAATAATAATAATAATAATTAATAATAAAAATATAAAGGGGAAAATATTTAATATCAAGATGAAGATATGTTACAATAATGAGAATGATGGAAATTCAATTAAATCCTTATGTCAATTAGTATTGAGATATTTATCTCTTGTAAAAATAACAAATATAATCTCTATATATGAAATTAAAAAAAAAAAAAAGGAAGAAACAAAACAAAACAAAAATTTTTAATTTAAAAAAAAAAAGTCATACGACGACATCAAACGATTAAAAAATTTAGTAATACAAAAAAAAAAACAAGTTAGAATTTTTTCGTTATTTATAAATTGCTATAGCAGTCGATACGAACTTTCTTATCAAATGAAAATATATATATATATATACAGAGTGAGTCATTTAAATTTGGATATTTTAAATATCTCTGTTATTTATAATTTTATAAAAAAAAAAAAGACAAGGGCTCCATCAGAGACTTTGAGAACATTGAAAAAATATGCATAGTTAGGCTGAAAAGTTCTGAGCCTTTTATAATTTCTTCTAATATATTTCTATACAATTATGTAGAGTTTAAAAAAAAAATTAGTGTTTCAGGTTCTGATAAAGCCCCATTATAAATTACAAAATTTGAATACCGTATCTGTTTGTTTGTACACACAAATTATTAATTTAAACATTACTAAAAAATCATGCACAAATTTATTGAAATATTAAGCTTTAATTGATGCATTAATGCGTTTAAAAATATGATTTCATTAAACATGATCAGATTAGAATTAAGTCCTAAAGAATATTTCCTAATAATATTATAAATAAGAGAGAGATATTTAAATGTTCCAATTTAATCATTAGAATCCCAGTGATCTTTAGAATAATCGTGCTGATAAATGTTAAGCGGTGCGACTACGTATCAATTGTGTACTGCTTTTCGACAAGAAATCTGAACAGTACTAATGAGCTGCTTGGGACTCAAACGATTAAATATTTCACCCCTGTATATACACAACGTATATTATAATTTTTTTTATCTTTTATCTTTTTTCTTTCTCAATAGAACTTTATTGTCACGTGACTAACAATAAGGACAGCCGAAAAATGGATTAGAATATTTTTGGGGTTTCGAAAACTGCTGCCGATATTATATTATAAATGTTTATACAAATTGTTGAATCTTTATATTTTTCCAGACTACGTTATTTTGCTTGTTTGTTTGTTTGTTTATTTTTCTTTTTTTTTTCTTTTCGTGCCCAGTATTTTTCAGGGAGGATATAAGAAACGTGGATGTAAGAGAGAAGAATTCCGAGAGAAACAAAAATAATAATAATTACATACAAACACGTAAGAATTGTCAACGATAGGTAATACGATCTTCTTACACCTTACACGTTCCACTGTGTTACAAAAAATTTTTTATATAGTATGTTTTTATATTATAATAATATAGTGATCACGCGATGTCGTTCATGTTCATCAGCATCATTATCAGCATCATCAGCATTCAGGGTCATTTTCGGCTATTGCAACTTTACACAATTGCAATTTTTCTTATCATCTATAACTGCTAGATTTTTGTTTCTTACTCCTTTTTTATTTGTTTTTTTTTTTTTACTTATTTATTTATTTATTTAATTTTTTTGTGGGATTTTTCTTTTATTTCTATTACCATAGTTAATTTTTTATTTATCTTTTTTTTTTTTTTTCATAGTTTGACTCAACTCTCTTTCTCTCTCACACACTCATACACACAATCACAGTCGCTTTTCACTATGTCTGTCTCTTTTGAGCGTTTCACTGTTATTAAACTTTATAAGATCTTCGATTCTTTGTTTTACAAGAAAAAGCTGTATATTAATATATTTAATATTCGCTGCTTTCGTAGAAATTCAATGTCAAGCCTTTAAAGAATCGAACGTCATCGCTTTTACTTCCAGGACACGTAAAGGGAAAGAATAATAGTTTTGTTTATTTATTTATTATTTAATTATCTTTCTTTTTTTTTCTTTTTTCATTTCTTCATTCTTCTTTTTTTATTTTTGCTTTTTTTTTTTTTTCTTTTTTATAGAGAAGATACGATTTCATAGGAAGAAACGATAATTTGATATCTAAATCAGCTATAATTATTTTGTCAAAGCACGTAGTAGTAGTAGTAGTAGTAGTAGTAGTAATAGTAGTAATAGTAGTAATAGTTTACTATAATATGGGTGCCAATTAAATTTGAAAGCATCATCACGTAACAATTTTTTGATAATTATTCTATTGCTATCAAGAAGAGTTTATCAATTTATATTTAACGTGCAGGTGTGTTCTCTTTAAACAAAGAACCCTGGAAAGGAGAATCGATAACAGTGGATTCTGAGAGCGTTGTTATTGTTGTTGTTGTTGTTGTTATTATTGTTAATTGAGCACAATTTATTGTTGTTTTTGTTTTGGTTATTGTTGTTGAAAGCAGAAACAACACCCACGATTGCACGCACACCACACACGCGCATCTCTCTTTCGAACATAATTACATAATAAATATGTCCATGTGTAATGTGTGATTGGGTTTGTAAGAAGATATAGAAACATGATTTTGTATATATCCTGATGTGTGTGTATTTAACGAATTCATCATTCACTTTGATATAGCGTTGATTAATTGATGAAGCTTTGGTACACATTCACAACATGCCAAAACCTTTAGAATAGTTGATTGCTTTTAATAAACGGTCTTGTAACTTTTCAATCGTGCTGTAGTCCGGTAAAAGTAAAACATTGAAGCATGTGTGGGCGATAGGTAATCTGAAAGTTAGGTATTTCAATCAATTTTAAAATTAATCTAAATTATAATATTAAAAAAAATATATCATATTATACAAAAATAATGGTAATAATTGAAAACAAGAGACAGTATACGCATGGTAATTTTATGATAATCATAATGGGAAAGATTGTTCTTAGTGAATATGAGTCATATATACATCTTGGGCGACCTGTGTATTTAGAAAATATTTCGTGATCTTCTATATATTTATAGAACTAGCTTAAAATCCAAGATTTAAATTTGGCACACTAATGTTTCCTGTGATACACTTTTATTTGTGCGTGTGAGCTTGATTTGAATATATATAAAAAGTTTAATAAATACCTGTCCGAATCTGGACCATGTCTTGCAATAACCATTTTAAGCCTAGAAAGTCCTCCGACTGGAACTCGATCGCTACCTGTAGTAAACTGAAGTAGCCTTCTTTGACTTTCCGGTGGTAATGAATGAGCTACCCGCCAGAAATTACGCACCGCTTCACTATCAACAGTATAACCACCCTCGTATTCCGTTGCTGCTTCCAATTCCGCGAAATCAAATATTTTACTACCGCAAACAAGCTGCAACAAAAATAAATTCTTGGTCATTGAATTGTTCACAAGTCCATTATAGATAATCGTATTTAAAACGTAATTTAAATAATGATAAATGTACCTGTTCAATTTCTTCCGGTCTGAAAAGTAAAGCAAGCGGGCTTTCATCTGTAACCATTTGAAAACCACGTCTGAATGCTTTGAATTGTCTTTCCACTGATTTATTTAACAAAAAATCTGCATAAAGATCTACAAATTCTTTTTTATTTTCTTGTGTTACGTAAGTTTCATCCCCGTTCTCACGAAGATCATGAAACGACATTGAACCAAACACATCTCTATAAATAAATAATAATATTAATTAAAATTAAAATTTGTAAATTAGTAGATGTATTATTATTTGATTAAACTTACTTGTAACCAACACGGAAAGTTTGCATAAATGTATCCGACATATCATCTTCGGTATACGCTATTAATTCTGTTAGTGTTCTATATAAAGTAGGACCCCAATCTTCTAAATCAGCAAATCCTCCTTTCCTACCTAATAATTTCCGATAAACTACCATAGGAAAACGTACATCCAAAATTACGTTGTTATAAATAGCTAATCCAAGGACGATTCCTATCAGCGTAAATTGTGCGTCACTTTCAAATGATGTGGAATTAAACCACGTTAACTGTGTGTCTTCCTGCGCAATCACAGAATACACACAATATAAACTATAAATGATATTCTTTAAATACAATCGATTATCATTTTCTAACTAATATTACCTGAGTCGTAAACATGCCATAATCAGGATTGAAGATTTCCTCTACAACTAATTGAAAGAATTCTTTAGATACACCACCTTCATCGACACCTTGTTCACCCTCAAACTCGACAACCAATTGTTTTTTAAGATCCGATGGATTCTCCATTGCTACCATTTCCAATTCGACCAATGCATCGTCTATCAAATGATCTCTACGTACCTATTTTAGATTTATATATATATTATATTGCTAATCTTTTTAAAAATATTTTTCAATTGATTACAATTTTTATGATATTATCAGTGACTTACTTTTAATCTAAGATATGGATTAGTCGGTTGTCCAACGACAGTTTGTAAGAAACTCATTCTTCTTTCGTTATACATTCTTATACGATTATCGTAATATAGGCCCAATGTTTTTGTAGCTGGCGTAAGGATAAACGGATAATTCATAAAACTAAATTTCTGAGGTTCTTCGCTTTTGTAGTAAGCAAAATCTTTATCCATTTCAATAGCATCGCTAAGTGGTTCATTATAAAAATCAGTGAAAGATATGAATGGTTTGCGAGCATCCAATGCAGAAATTCCTAATTCTTTGGCTAATGGATCCTAAATAAATATATTACGTTATTAGATTGATACATTTGTCTCTCATAAATATATATATATATATACATAAATATTAAATATTAATACCTGTGGGATTTGCGAAGTCATTTTACACGATTTGTCAATTTTTGTTGTATCACCATCTTCGCTTGTCGCCAATTCACTACTATCTAATTCTCCTGCTAACATACTAGCATAATAAAGAATCCTCATTACTTTTGTAGGAGCAGTGATGGTATCTGCATCCTGAACACAATAATCCCGTGTAAATGATCCACTTATTACCTACAACAAGAAATAAATAATTTATGTGATTAAATGAATCAAATGATAATCTTAAAGAAGATTTATACGTAATTATTATTAAAATACCTTAACAGTTATCAATTCTTGTAGAGCTTGCAGAAGATTAGGTAACGTAGGCTTACAGTGTCTGGCCCATACACGTGCTAATTTCGCTTGAGCTATTGTTGGGAAACAGCTAACAGCTTTACAAAGCATATGAAGCGCAAGTTCAAGATATTCGCTATTTCCCAACATTGGTATTTCAAATACAATTAAGAATACATTTAAAAGACTGTCCATGCTATGGGATGGTGTTTTTCCAAATACTCTTAAATGTAATTCTATCGTATCTGCTAATGTGACTAGTGCATTTACAAGTGCTGATTCAAATGCTTTCCCTAAAACAAATTTTGTCTTTTAATATATATATACAATAATAAAAAATGATATGATATATTTAATATATAATTATAATACCTGGAAGTGTCCATAATGCCTTAAACGCTCTTCTAACAGCAAGTAAATCAACGCTAGTATCATCGTCGTTAGGAGGAACTGTTGGAGATGGATCGCTACTGTCTTCTTCTTTATCTTCTCCTTGTAAGGAACGTACAGCCTCTTTGTTTAAATCTGCAGGTGGCCTTAAAAGATTATCAGGTGCTCTATCAAGAAGTGCCGCCAATGGAGAATCATTTTTTTCAGTCTTTTGAAAACTTCGGCTTAATGCTTCTCTAGAAGAAAATACTTTTCCCAAAGTACGTATCAATAACGAATATGCCCTTTCCGATTTACATTTATTTATTATATCCAGAAGTTTGGCTTCGGTTAGATATGGTTCTGATTTCCCTGTTACAATTAAATTAATTATATTACATAGTCTATTTATCTATCTTTCTTGTTCTTTTTAATTCTTTCTTTCTTTTTTTTTTTCTTTCTTTCTCTCTCTCTCTCTCTCTCTCACTCTCTTTCTCTCTTTTTTTTAATTTATGCTACACTGTTTTAATAATCTAGTTTCGATCCAACCATTTGCTTTCTTTGTCAATCTTTAATAACTGCATTAAACAAGCCTTACAAAATGTGTATTGCAATAGAAAATATTTATTAACAATTAATACAGTAAACAATATACTGTATATAAATATAATTGTTACAAATATATATGTAAAGTAGTAGAGATTAGAAAAAAATAAAACAAATAAAATAAAGAAGATAAAGAATCCCCAAGGGATTCTTTATTTATTTAGACAAATAACATTTAGTATATCTTTCCTTTTCCAAATATTTCAAATATAAAGTTAATATCAACAATTTAATCATAGATTTTTGTGTATAAAATTTTCTAATGGTTCTTTTCCGAATGGTTCTTTTCTTTCTTGTTTGTTGCGGTTTCTTCTTCGATCTACTACTTTGAATAACTTGTTTAGGCGACGGCTGTTTTCTATATCGAATTGCCTGCCTTCTCGCTTGTTTAATTTGATATTTTGGAATATGAATATTATATTTTTTCAATATTTCTAATAGACAATCTTCATTCACGGTAACGTTAGATGAATTAGAGCATTGATTAGAATAAACGTCTTCGTTAGATCTTGAATAAGATTTAGTTGATTTATCTTCTAAAATAACAATGTCGGAAAGATCATCATTGTCTCGTTTCTCTAATTGTAGATCGGAATTACAATCGGAACTGTTATCGATCTTGATAGAATTAAAATCATCTTCTGTGGTAGATGTTTGCCGACAAATAGAATCAAGAAGAAAGCAAATGGCTGTATTACATTCTGCCAATATAGTACCTTCATCCGAGCAAGTAGGATTTACATTTTTAACAGGTAGACTTTTAGCCAAAGATGCAGGTCCAGGTTCCAAAGTAGTTCTAGCAACTTTACTCGGTTGAGTACCGTCGCATAATCGAGCTTCTTGAGAGAACAACTGAATGGCTTGAGCTGCTGCTTGATTTGGTGTAAGATTAGTAATCTGTACGAACAACGGATCGTGTTAATAATCATGGAAACAAGTTTTCTAACATATAGAGAGAGACACATACTTAATATTAAACAATAACAAAAAAATATATAATATTTAAAATGTTCATACTTTCCCACTGGATGCGCAGTTTTGGTTACTACATTGAGGATTACCACATCCTTCGGTAAGTTGATAAAAGTACCTTTCAATAAGCTTCTTGGCAGCTGCACGCTTCATATCGCTGCAAGGGCTTTCCGCTCCTACCCTAAGGTAATCCAAAACAAAAACAAAATAGAACAATTCTTTATCACTTTGTAAACAAGTTTGATAACAAATTAACATAATCAATATAACATTTTAAACAAACTTTTAGTATACACATGAACACATAATTATAGAATATTATTATTAAAAGTCAGAGCCCAAGAGAAATAGGAAAGAGAAAGAGAAAGAGAAGGAAAATGAAAATGAAAAATAAAAATTAACGTCAAAAAAAAAAAAAAGGAAATAACAAAGCCAAAGGTTTGATGATAATTTTCCAACGATAGAACTTTTCTCACGAGTCGTTGTACCAAAACAAAGCACNTTTTTTTTTTTTTGACGTTAATTTTTATTTTTCATTTTCATTTTCCTTCTCTTTCTCTTTCTCTTTCCTATTTCTCTTGGGCTCTGACTTTTAATAATAATATTCTATAATTATGTGTTCATGTGTATACTAAAAGTTTGTTTAAAATGTTATATTGATTATGTTAATTTGTTATCAAACTTGTTTACAAAGTGATAAAGAATTGTTCTATTTTGTTTTTGTTTTGGATTACCTTAGGGTAGGAGCGGAAAGCCCTTGCAGCGATATGAAGCGTGCAGCTGCCAAGAAGCTTATTGAAAGGTACTTTTATCAACTTACCGAAGGATGTGGTAATCCTCAATGTAGTAACCAAAACTGCGCATCCAGTGGGAAAGTATGAACATTTTAAATATTATATATTTTTTTGTTATTGTTTAATATTAAGTATGTGTCTCTCTCTATATGTTAGAAAACTTGTTTCCATGATTATTAACACGATCCGTTGTTCGTACAGATTACTAATCTTACACCAAATCAAGCAGCAGCTCAAGCCATTCAGTTGTTCTCTCAAGAAGCTCGATTATGCGACGGTACTCAACCGAGTAAAGTTGCTAGAACTACTTTGGAACCTGGACCTGCATCTTTGGCTAAAAGTCTACCTGTTAAAAATGTAAATCCTACTTGCTCGGATGAAGGTACTATATTGGCAGAATGTAATACAGCCATTTGCTTTCTTCTTGATTCTATTTGTCGGCAAACATCTACCACAGAAGATGATTTTAATTCTATCAAGATCGATAACAGTTCCGATTGTAATTCCGATCTACAATTAGAGAAACGAGACAATGATGATCTTTCCGACATTGTTATTTTAGAAGATAAATCAACTAAATCTTATTCAAGATCTAACGAAGACGTTTATTCTAATCAATGCTCTAATTCATCTAACGTTACCGTGAATGAAGATTGTCTATTAGAAATATTGAAAAAATATAATATTCATATTCCAAAATATCAAATTAAACAAGCGAGAAGGCAGGCAATTCGATATAGAAAACAGCCGTCGCCTAAACAAGTTATTCAAAGTAGTAGATCGAAGAAGAAACCGCAACAAACAAGAAAGAAAAGAACCATTCGGAAAAGAACCATTAGAAAATTTTATACACAAAAATCTATGATTAAATTGTTGATATTAACTTTATATTTGAAATATTTGGAAAAGGAAAGATATACTAAATGTTATTTGTCTAAATAAATAAAGAATCCCTTGGGGATTCTTTATCTTCTTTATTTTATTTGTTTTATTTTTTTCTAATCTCTACTACTTTACATATATATTTGTAACAATTATATTTATATACAGTATATTGTTTACTGTATTAATTGTTAATAAATATTTTCTATTGCAATACACATTTTGTAAGGCTTGTTTAATGCAGTTATTAAAGATTGACAAAGAAAGCAAATGGTTGGATCGAAACTAGATTATTAAAACAGTGTAGCATAAATTAAAAAAAAGAGAGAAAGAGAGTGAGAGAGAGAGAGAGAGAGAGAAAGAAAGAAAAAAAAAAAGAAAGAAAGAATTAAAAAGAACAAGAAAGATAGATAAATAGACTATGTAATATAATTAATTTAATTGTAACAGGGAAATCAGAACCATATCTAACCGAAGCCAAACTTCTGGATATAATAAATAAATGTAAATCGGAAAGGGCATATTCGTTATTGATACGTACTTTGGGAAAAGTATTTTCTTCTAGAGAAGCATTAAGCCGAAGTTTTCAAAAGACTGAAAAAAATGATTCTCCATTGGCGGCACTTCTTGATAGAGCACCTGATAATCTTTTAAGGCCACCTGCAGATTTAAACAAAGAGGCTGTACGTTCCTTACAAGGAGAAGATAAAGAAGAAGACAGTAGCGATCCATCTCCAACAGTTCCTCCTAACGACGATGATACTAGCGTTGATTTACTTGCTGTTAGAAGAGCGTTTAAGGCATTATGGACACTTCCAGGTATTATAATTATATATTAAATATATCATATCATTTTTTATTATTGTATATATATATTAAAAGACAAAATTTGTTTTAGGGAAAGCATTTGAATCAGCACTTGTAAATGCACTAGTCACATTAGCAGATACGATAGAATTACATTTAAGAGTATTTGGAAAAACACCATCCCATAGCATGGACAGTCTTTTAAATGTATTCTTAATTGTATTTGAAATACCAATGTTGGGAAATAGCGAATATCTTGAACTTGCGCTTCATATGCTTTGTAAAGCTGTTAGCTGTTTCCCAACAATAGCTCAAGCGAAATTAGCACGTGTATGGGCCAGACACTGTAAGCCTACGTTACCTAATCTTCTGCAAGCTCTACAAGAATTGATAACTGTTAAGGTATTTTAATAATAATTACGTATAAATCTTCTTTAAGATTATCATTTGATTCATTTAATCACATAAATTATTTATTTCTTGTTGTAGGTAATAAGTGGATCATTTACACGGGATTATTGTGTTCAGGATGCAGATACCATCACTGCTCCTACAAAAGTAATGAGGATTCTTTATTATGCTAGTATGTTAGCAGGAGAATTAGATAGTAGTGAATTGGCGACAAGCGAAGATGGTGATACAACAAAAATTGACAAATCGTGTAAAATGACTTCGCAAATCCCACAGGTATTAATATTTAATATTTATGTATATATATATATACACGAGCAGAGAAAGAGAGTCGATTAAATTGAAAAAGAAAAACGAGATTCGATTCGCGTTTCGAGTTATAATATCGGTGATTACCTCAATCGCGTATTTATAATTGTTAGGTTAAGTTGCAACACTTTATTTTACGATTAAATTTGATTTTCAATGTTTCTTAGCACTTTGCGTTTAGCGTAAAGTCTTATGTTGACACTTTTCAATTGATTTGACTAATTTTTACTTTTCATTTCGACGTGGGTTTGTTTGTTTTTTCTTGTTTGTTTCTTTGTTTGTTTGTTTGTTAAATTTTTCTTCAATTGGAAACGATCGCAGGGGGAAAAGAAACAAAAATTTCTTTTCTACCTTGGGATGATGAGATATAGTTGGGCTCGTGTTGGAACAAAAATTGCTATGATTCTCACGAACTTAACACGACTTATTGCGAGTTCTTACTTACGATTGCGTTTCTTCATTTTTCGATTATCGCGATATTATCGAACTTTCGCGAGAATTCCTTTCAAATGATATCTCGATTATATTATCTAATGAGCCCCGACCAATCGCGAATCGTTACGGGTTAATACGATGTGCGATTGGTCGAAAGCTCGATATGACCATTCAAATCATAAATTTGAAAATTGCCGCTATTTTTTCTTATTTTTACATCGGAGAATTCTTTTTCCTATAATTAATTTATATTAATTAAATTAAATATTAATTTTATAATTCTGTAATTAATTTCTAGAAATGCTGTTCTTATAAAAGAATAATATTTATTATACATAAATATACAAGTTCTTAAAATTAGTTGAAAAGTATTTTATAAATACAATTTTATATAACATTAAATGTATAGAGAGAAAAAAAAACGTTTTAAACGACTAATGATCAATGAAAAAAAAAGTATTATCTCGTATTACATATGTCTAGAAGTAATTGAAAAATTAAATCAATTATTAAAAATATTAGACGTGCACTTAAATAGTAATATTAATTTTTGACTACATTATACCTTTTACATTTTACTATCTAAGTACATTTAATTTATCTTATGAAAAATTACTTTCTTGAATATCTTCTATTGTTATATGTTTTTTTCTCTGACCGTTGTGCTTGCTTTTGTTCGTATCTGTTGGCCATGCTACGCAATTCATATGGTACATCCTATATAACGAATAGAAAAAAAAGATAAAAAAAAAAAGAAAAAACATAAAAGAATATAATATGTTGATACTTACTTGATCAGCCTCTTCTAAAATTTCGATCAGACCTTTTGCATGAGACCAATCGTTTCTAGTCATTAGTGTTATGCTGACTCCACTTTTACCGGCACGTCCGGTTCGTCCAACTCGATGAACGTATTCTTCAATATCATTAGGAAAGTCGTAATTGAATACATGCCTAAAAATTCATTATATAGTTTTCTTCTTGTAATATAAAATATACAAAAAGAGATCAAAAGAGATTGGACAAAGAAAAAAAGAGAAAAAAATAAGTGAATTAAAGTAAAACATACGTAATATCCTTAATGTCAAGTCCCCGACTGACAAGATCGGTGGCAATGAGTATTCTCACAGTGCCATTTTCCATATATTCTATGGCTTTTTCTCTGTCCTCTTGTATTAATCCACTGTGAATAATTTCGTTATCGATATGTTCAAAAATTAGTTCAACAGATAGATCACTAACGCCAGCTTTTGTTCGAAGAAATACAATTATTTTGTCATCAGGTCTCATATCATGAAGAAAATCTTTTAACTGTAAAAATATTTAAAATAATTACGTTTTCTTATCGATATATATTATTTATAATAACAAAAAGACATATACATATATGTAATACTAACTAATGCTTTTTTTTCTTCTTCCTCCACAATATATATATGTTGCTGTACCGTATGCACAGCCGTCAAATCCAATGATCCAATAGATACTTGAATCGGATCTACCATAAATGAGAGTGCCATACGTCTAACTTCTGCTGGCCACGTAGCACTGTTACAAATATTAGACATTGTTAAAATATTAATAAACTCATATTATATAAATGTATATTTTTGCATTTATATTACATACCTGGTCATAACAGTTTGTCTATCAGATCTTATATCAGCTATACAGTATCTAATTTGTGGCTCAAAGCCCATATCTAACATGCGATCTGCTTCGTCTAATACTACATACGATACAGATCTTAAATCTATTACATTTATTCTAACAAAATCAATCAATCGCCCTGGTGTAGCTATAATTATTTCTGCATTTTCTTTTTTTATAAGTTTTATCTGTTCTGGACGTTTAACTCCGCCGTATATACAAATACTAAAAAAAATAACATTACTCAAAACAGTTGTTGTATGATGTCAAACAATAAAATGAATCATTATATAATTACTTACGCTTTGATCCCACGATAAGAATATTTATTTACTTCTCTTTCAATTTGTAATGCCAATTCTCTTGTTGGTGCTAAAATAAGAGCTTTTGGTCCAACCCTTGGAGAATCTTCTTGCCCATCAATGTGAATCAATGCAGGCAATAGAAATGCTAAAGTTTTACCTAAATAATAATAATAATAATAATAATAATAATAAGATAATTGTAAATAATATCATTAATATTAATATTGATGAAACTAATAGAATAATAAAAACCTGTTCCAGTCTGTGCGACGCCTATCATATCATTGCCACTTAATAAAATTGGCCATGCTTGGCATTGTATTGGGCTTGGGGTTGTGAAACCTTGTTTTTTAATCTCTTGTAAAATTTCGGGATAATTCTGTAATTGTATATTAATATTATTATTATAACTTGCTAATTCTGTTATTTTATTCTTGCATTATACTTACTTTGAATGCTTGATCAAAAGAGATGATTGGATTTGGGACGATATTTATAGTGTTTTTAGGAGCATTCTCTGTCTCATTAAAAATGCATTCAACTTCAATGTTATTATTTTTTCTTCTTATTTCTTTTGCTTCTTTTTGGGACATATTAGAAATCACGGGGTCTTCACAATAAAAATTTTTACTTATAGCACCTGGAGTAAAAGGTGGCGGTTCTACATATTTATCCTGAATTTACAAAAAAAAAAAAAATCAAAACATAGTTTTATCTCTTTCTCTCTGTACTTCAGTTTTAAAGAATATAGTATATAAAATTATGATCAATAATTATACTTATATATAACTTACGTATGAATAAAAATCTTCCACGGGAAGCTCTGGTTGAGGAGGGTCTTTTAAGAATTCGGTGATTAATTCTTTTGCTTTGTTCTGATTTTCCAAAGATCCAATTATAGTTACTTCTGTTAAATGATTATTATTTGCAGCTTTTCCTACCTGTATAGTAAAAAGAAGAAGAGAAAAAGAAATGAAAAATTAAGGATACCATCTCGCATTTAATTTGTTCTATTATACGAGGATTGATTGACCAATTTTAAGCATCGACAACAAAATCTTGTATTTTATTAAACGTTGAGCATGGTGCAAAAACCGATGTGCAATTTTTCGTTTAGTTACACGCGGATTAGCTTTTCTTTTTGCTCTTCCTTTTACCGTTCTCTTTCCGATTATCTTTTATTTAAACATATTAATCACGCTCGGTGCTAAGTTGTTTTTGATTGACTATTAATTCAAACCATTTACTGTTTTGATGCATTAAATAAATATTCCTGCGTATACTATCAGTGGTACACGTGGCCTAAATGGACTATGTAGCACGGAATATATTAGTATACTTCTGTATTTACTGTGTCAATTCTATAGTCCACCATACAGAAAGTTAAACAATACAATAGATTATAATGTATACCGTTTGGACGAATAACAGAAACTTATTGGTTTAACCGATAAAAAAAAAAAAAAAACAAGTCGTTTCTATGTTGAATTCAAAAAATGTTTCTATCCATCCCATATATTGGAAAATATTATATGCTTCTATATAATATATTATATATATTATTCTATATATAATATATATTCTATATATTAATATTACTATATTATACTTACACAAATTTTTCATGATAAGGGAAAGAGCGCTGCGTTATATTAAGGAGGTGCTGGAAATGGAGGATTCAAGGTGGCCAAAAATATGTGTGATGGAGGAAATAAGGGCCATAACGAACGGGAATCCATCAAAATGGGGGGAGAATTTGGTCAGTGTGTTGAGGGAAATGGGTATTGAGGACTTGATAGAGA